CGGGGGGGGGGGGGGGGGGGGCCGCTTGCGGCGGGGCTGAGCCATACTCACATAGCGGGCCCGGGGGAGGAGGATTCACCCCGCCTGGGCTGGGGATTGCAGCAGCGCCCCTCTGACTTCCTCATACCGCGGCCGGGAGAAGTTTGCAGCCCACGTGATGGGACCCAAGCGGAGTCGCGCGCTCTCCGCCTGCCCAGGCACAGCTGGCTGCGCGCTGCAGGGACCGGTGTAACGCCCTGCTCCAGTGCCCGGCCGCTAGTGGGACTCCGCGGGGCAGGTAAAAGACAAGCGGGGGCGATTGTTGGCGGGCTGCTTGGGACACGCAGAAACCCCCCTCCCCTCTCAGTGTCAAAGGCTCCGGCTGCGGTCGGCAACGGAGCAGAAAATGGGGAGACTGGAAAATCGACGGGGTTTTGCAGGGGAGCAGAAGTTTGCTGCGCCCATTAAAAGACTCGTGACAGCCCATCCACCCTCGCCCCACTGCCCTCATCTACCTACGCTCGTCTCTCTCTCTCTCTCTCTCACACACACACACCCCAAAAATCATGAAGGGTTCAAATAAAGAGGGAGACAGGGGACAGACCAGGAAATAAATCCACCTAGAGCTAGTGAGAGAGGAGCGACCCACGGAGAGCCGGCAGAAAAAATGAGTGTGGAAAATAAACATGCAGTGGAAGGATTAAGGGAAAGGAAGGGTGGGGATGGAAGAAAAAGAAAAGGAAAAGAAAGATGAGAACATTCGACATTCTGAAGGTATTACAATTAATGTCTGTTTTGACAGCACCTCCCAGCTCCAGTCCCATTGTGCTAGACCTACAACCAGAACAAAAAAAACCCTGTCCCAAAGAGCCAACGATGTTGATGATATTAAATTATAAAGTAGTTCAAATCAGTTTTAACAGTTGTGTCTGCTGAAATCAGAGAAAACGGTGCTGATTTTAGATGAAGGGGATTGACACCATGAAAACATAAGAATGGCCATACTGTGTCAGACCAAAGGTCCATCTAGCTCAGTATCCTGTCCTCTGACAGTGGCCAATGCCAGATATCCTAAAGTGAATGAACAGAGCAGGTAATCAAGAGATCCCTCCTCTGTTACTCATTTCCATTCTCTGACAAACAGAGGGTTCACCATTCCTACCCCTCCTGGCTAATAGCCATTGATGGACCTATCCATGAATGTATCTAATTATTTTTTAACCCTTTTATAGTCTTCGCAAGGAGTTCCACAGGTTAACTGTGCATTGTGTGAAGAAGTACTTTGTTTGTTTGTTCTACACCTGCTACCTATTCGTTTCATTTGATGACCCTTAGTCCTTTTGTTATCAGCTTCTCATATTTAACAGCATGGAGGCTAGAGAGCACTCATTTTCTTCCTAGAGAGGTGATAGGTGATTAGACCGCTAATGTTTCCTTTGTCACATTCTTTCCATCTAAATGCACAATGTAGATGGAAATCGGAAAGCACAACAGAGATGGGGCAATGAGTTTCACGTTAAAAGCTTTGTGATTTTTCATGGGTAAATTTAACCCTGGAGCAATAGTGGTCATGCTGACCCCACCAAGCTCAGAACTTTAAGAGCCTAAACTTCAATATAATCCTCTTTCTGACTTAGCACAGGAATACTGTGCAAGAGCAAGGGGGGCCTTTTAAAACCTTATTTAAATTCACTTGAAGTCTTTTTAATCTTTAAAGCTTGCTTCTAGGAAGACTAATCATCCAGTGTTCCTGAAAATCCAACAAACAATATAACCCAGGAAGAATGGAGGCTCAATGTCCAGGAACAAACCAATGCCCAAAGAGAATGTGAAGGCTGGGCTGGTTCCTAAGGATTTTAGGGGTAAAATCCTGGCTCCGCTGAAGTTAATGGTAAAACTTCGGTGGACTATTCTGGCATATCATTATCCAGCAACTGGATCCCTGTGGGCAAACTAATGCACCTGTGCAAAGCCTCAGTGGGTTTTATAGTGATTCACCTTTGCAGAACTCATGGTAGAATCAGAGCCTAACTGTTCTAAAGAGTCATATTTTAGAACGCGGCTATGCTAGCTCCTGTTATCCATGTTTCACTGGGGAACGTGGAGAATTTCCTTCCCCAGTGCACAGCTTAGGGTTGGCTCCTGTGTGTCTAACAAAAGGCACAGGACCAGTAAATTGGAAGTTTAACTACTTAGAAAGGTCCCAAAATCCACCCCTTATTAAAACAAGGTCAGACTATAAAAGCAGCAGCAGCAGCCAGGAGAAGTGATAAAAACTTTTTAAATAACAGGGCTGTCCCCTGGATAGCTTCAGAAAGAGGAGCTAGACTTCTAGGTATTGATCGCAATGAGCTCCTGAGGCCAGGGACTTATGTAACTACAAGTTTGGCAGGCCTGACATTAACCCTGGTTTTATTTCTTGTAGACCAGGGTCCTCAAAACTGGGAGTCAGGTCCTCTCAGGGGAGCCACACAAGGTTATTACATGAGGAATGTGGGCTGTCAGCCGCCACCCAAAAACTCATTTTGCACACCCAGCATTTATAATGATGTTAAATACAGAGGTGAAAATAAGACAGTGCTCCCCAGTGCATTTCTCTGGTATGAGCTGTCTGGGGCATTCTACTGCAGGTGGAGGTGCTCAGTGTGGCTTGCAGTACACTCTCCCAACTGGGCTCCTGCTAGCTCCCCGCAGGCTTCTGCTGCAGGCTGATGTTAGACACCCATTGCACAATGAACATGTTTTTGTTTCTCATTTTTAGAGCCCACACACATTTCTAGAAGTTTCTGTGTTTTTTTATGGATAAAATGTATTTTTTCATGAATAAAACAAGTTTCATTCCCCATTGCATCTAACACTGTATGCATGTCTTTCTAAGATTACTTTCCCCTTATGCTAGAAGACATTGGAGAGGAGGGGAAGAAGGGTAAATCTTCATTTTTCAGTGCATTGTGATTTTAAAAAATGGACTGTTTTAATCTAATTTTAAGAAAATATTTCATCACTTGATCTATTTATGTTTTGAGACTAGACAATTTATTATAAAGACATAAAAAAGCAGCCCGGCACAGCCAAACATGCATTTAGAACTTTTCTTTTAATAATCAAAACACAGATAACTGTAGCTACATCTTACTACTTCAGTCATCTGTTTTGCTCAGATTCTATAGCCATCATTCATTGTTCTGTGACCTAAGCAGAACAAAGAAAAAAGTTACTGGATAAAGGCTATGGCTCTGATTCTGCAAACACACATGTGCATAACATTACACCAGAATCATCCCACTATTTTCAGTAACACTATACGCTTGAGTAAAGTTGTGCAAAACAAATCTCTGCTGTCTACACTGGCCCTTTTGCACAAAAGCTTTTGCACAAAAGGACTTTTGCCCGAACGGGAGCAGCATAGTATTTCCGCAAGACGCACTGATTTCTTACATGAGATCGTCAGTGTTCTTGCGGAAATTCCGGAAAACCTTGCCAGTCTAGACACAGCCCAGTAGTATTTGGAGGATCAGGCCCTTAAATCAGATTTTCCTTGATTTTGTCAGTAGGGACAAGCATAACATTACATCAATGTAATTTGGATATACACTTTGTTTCAAAAATGAATCCTTGCCATTACAATGTCATCTTAAATGTTACGAAATCACTGGGGAATGTGGTAATGTGTTACACTTTCCTTGGAAAGACAATAGCTTCCATGACATAACAATTTCATTGGCATACATCCGAGTTTGTAACAGATCAACAGCATGAAAACTCTAACAGTCCATCATGTCAATACACACTTAGTCCATAACCAAGAGATTACTG